GCAGTGCAATATTTGTGGTTGTGAACCTGCACTCTAATAGATATTTGTTTTATGTTAAACTGTATCTGGCTATGCCACATGAATTATTCCTCCTGGTTTACTTTGCGATTTAATGCAGGGAACTATTGTACAGGCAAGTTTGTATACCCTAATCTGACCATTTTCTTTTTAGCTAGAATGCCAACAGAAAGGAAAATGATTTATAATTTAAATGCCATTAGAGCCCCAGAAGATTCAACTCATACAAAATTCCCATTAGGTGCCACACCGACACAAATGCAAATTATTTTGTTTTTAAAGACACTTAAATTTACACTTCATTTCCTCATTCACATACTTAATTTTCTGTGTTGCTAGATTAATGGAAATGTTTTATTTCATTAATAATGTATTCATGCACAAACAAAACTATCCTTTAAAAACAAGAAGGGGAGGGGGATGGTTATACAAACAATTAAAGAAAAAATTGTTATGAAAGGAAAATTGGCCAATATTGATGACCTCCTGAAACGCGAGTTGCCTTCCTCTGTGTACTTTCCCCAGTCTGAGATAAGCATGCAGCCAGTTCAATCAGAATTCCTGTACTTTTGTCCTTGGGTGATGACTAAAGCTAGCCATTACACTAAGATTTCCTGTGGGCTAAATAAGAAAAATCACTTGATTCCCCCACCCATACTAAACAGCCAGGATGGATGAATCTCTCCAGCCGGCCAATGTAATCAGACAGCTGTTGCTGTCAAAAACACCAACAGTGGCTGCGTCTAGCAGGGGTTCCAGCTTAACCTACAAAAAAATGTCAATATACATACGAGTACGCTTTTGTTTAAAATTGATAGACAAATTGCGATGTGTGTGTTGGCAACAACAGTCCAATGCTGGTGAATCTAGCATTTGCCATTTTCACATTCTTATGTTCAGCGGATGACAATGACGCAACCCAAGGAATGTCCAAGCAAATCAAGCCAGTTAATTGTTTAACTACAGAAAAAGATCTGACGTCTGTCAGGCAATCAGCCACTCTATGTTACCCTTGAAGCTCTGAAGAAATGTTTTTACTTTATCCAGAATGTAAGTTGCTGCATGGTTAAGTGCTATATTCCTGGTCACAGATACACTTTACAGAGTGTACCTAGTGGTATAGAACAAGAATGTGTTGAAGGCAAAAAACAAAAATGGTGGCCCTTAGACAGTAGCTACACAAGTCAATATTGCAAATGTATCCCATTTTTAAACTTAACATTTCAGAAATCAATTAGAAATAAAATTTCCACTTACCAATCATGTGGTTTGCAACATGGACCTGAATATCCCATTCATTATAGAATACCATCTGGCACTTGATGCATTGGTAAGTCTTCTTCTGTTAAAAAATATATATAGATTAGAAAAATGGGATAAAAGACATTTAAAGAGTAAATATCAACATTAGAAACAAGAAAAAAAGAAACAAGTTTGGCCATAATAACAAAAATAAAAGGAAAAATGAAATTTTCCATGAAAATTATGCATCTTCAAAATAGACAAAAGCATCCAAATCCAAGAACTATCCGCTAAGTGGTCTTAAGGAGAAAATGTAATCTTTTTAAAGTTTTTAGCTATTTCATCATTGTGTTTTAGTTTATTTAAAAATGTATTTCTATGTACTGTATTATATATGCAAATGGTGGCAGCCATACTTGTTCATTAAATTTGCATGCTCGTTGCCTGATTATTAGTGCTATTAATGTGGTTCCTAGTGGATCCCTTTCTCTTACTGCTAGTTTATCAGACAGGGTCTCCCAGATGAAAACAATTGCAGTCTGTAATGATGTAAAAAATCCAGGGTGACTTGGTAGTCAAAGAGAATATGATATAGGCTGCCAAGGCTTTAGGTCACATGAGGAGCTCAGGATTAACTGTTCTTTATTCATGGCATGTCAAGTTATTTTCTTTTAATGTTAGCACGTGCCTTGTTAATGCATACAAAATGAAAATTTGAGGAAGGGTGCGCTTTTAAATACAAGCAAAACTTTGAGAATGCTGATATATTTAGTCAGAGTATTTTAATACTTTCCTTCTTGAGCTAACAAGAGACATATCTATATATCTATATCTATATATATCTATCTATATATATCTATATATCTATCTATATATATATCTATCTATATATATATCTATCTATATATATATATCTATATAGATATATATATAGATATATATATATATATATATATATATATATATATATATATATATATATATATATATATATATATATAGAGGTTAACACTGCAATACCCCCAAATATCTGACCATTGAAGAACTTTACTGTTCAGGAGGCATACTAGGCAACAAATTAAAGGGTTAGTTCACCTCTAAAAACACTCTATACAATTCATGGACACTATTCCATAATTTTACATTGGTCCAGTTTTAAAATATCTGCATATGCTCCTCCCATACCTATAAGCCTTTTTTAAATGAAGTGAAGCCTGCCCAAAACACTTCTGATAATTTTCACATCTTCATCTTGTCTGCTTCTCTAGGACAGACAAGTCGTTAGGATGAGCATCCCCTAACAGTACAGAAACTGCTGCCCTTCTTCCACAGCGCTATCTCTTGTCACCACATTTGAAATTAGCAGCTACCATCACATCAAATGTTCAGGCCACTGTGACAGCTGTACATCTCCCAGAGTCATTCAGCTTGGTACACATTTTACAACCTATTCTTTGGGAAAGGTAGGGCTTTTGCCAGAGGACAGAACTGCCAACCAAGTGCCCCATTTTAGAATATAACTGTGAAAATACTTTAGTGAGCCAAAAAATCTTAAATAAACAAACACCACAGAATAGAATAATTGGTTTTAAATTGGAAACCAAGCCAGAAAGCACAGAGACACTTGATACAGGAGAGATGATATCATGAGAATTGGGAGATTCAAAAGCCATTCTGTAGAAGGGCAGGGCTGAGTGATGGATAACTGCAAAATTAATCTGCTTGCCAATCACAAGGAGCAGAAGATCACTACAAGTTGTCCCCTGACCTGACCCAGACCTCCCATGAAAAAAAAAAAAATTTAAGGGACACTTTTTTCCTATTTCATGTTCTGGTGTCCCATATATAGAAGAGAGACAAAGTCTTCCCAATGGAGTCAGAGACCACATTAAACATAAGTTCTAACCCTTTTCTACTACGTTTCAAACTTAACCACTGGAAGATTTTACCCACTTCATGACCAGGGCATTTTTTGCTATTCAGTATTGCGCTATTTTAACTGGCAAGTGCAACACTGAACGCACATTAACTTTGTTATTTTTTTTTTCACAAAAATAGAGCTCTCTTTTAGTGGTATTTGATCACCACTGGGTTTTTACATTTTATTATATAAGCAAAACAAGACCAAAAATTTTGGGAAAAAATATTTTCTGCTTTGTTATAAAACACATCCAATAAAAAATGAAAAGAAAAAAAATCTAATTTTTTTTATAAAATTTAGGTCAAAATGTGTTCTGTTACATGTCTTTGACAAAAAATAAATTCCAGTAAGAGTATATTAGTTTATGCAAAAAATTATATTGTCAATACTGGAATTTACACAGCTATGATACTATCCTAGTAATGGCAATGATCAACAACATCTAATGGGACTGTGATAGTGTGGCAAGCAATTGGATGCTAGCTTGGAGGTATACTATCAGACTGACACAGAAATCAATAGTGGCACTAATACAGTGATCAGTGCTAATACTGTACACTGTCACTGTACGAATGACACTGACTGGGAAGGGGTTAACATCTAGAGCAAATCAAGGGGATAATTGTGTTCCTAACAATGTATAATGTGTGCTGCTTTTACTTTACTATATGGCTGTTCTGTGTTTTTTTTAAATACAGAACTGTGTACATATGATTGGACACAGCCGATCAGCTGACTTGGCAGGGAGCACAAATGCATGCACTCCAAACCCAAAAATGGGAAAATCAAGTATATATACACAAGTAACTGAGCCTTTCCATGCTGCTCCACTGCAGTAAATGTACAGCTGTGGGGCAGCAAGTGGTTAAAGCTGAACTTTAATCTGCTTGGATTTTGCCTTCTCTGGTTTCTTCACCCCCCCCCCCCCCCCTCATTTGCAAGCTAACAAATTTGTAAAAAAAAAAGTTCATTTTTCATTACATACCATAGTTTAGACTCTAAAGTTTAGTAACATCATCCCTGGTACTTTGTGTTTCTCTATGCAATACAAGCAAGTCATGGCTGGTGGCAGAGGACAGCAGGGTGAGTTACAACTACCTGAAAACATCACAGCAATCTGCCTCAGTAATCCTATCAGCCCTAATGCAAGTAGTGGACTGGCTCTTGAGTTATGCAAACATCAAATTGCTTTGCGAGTGGATGTCTGCAGGATTGGGCATTCCTAGGCTGCATTTGAGTACAGACTGCCCTAAGCAATGCCTACTTCAATGCTTAGCCTTCATAACTAAAATAACTGAAATTAATGATTATAAGAGACAGGCCAAGGCCAGTAAAGCAGGGGAGGAAAGGACTAGATGATGCTCGACATCCTCAGCCACAAAACAAGGCTGTCTCTATCTGACTTGCTGCAGATCTAAATTCACACCGTGAGAAGCTCATGGTGTAGTGAAATCAAATTAACCGCTTACCTACAGGGCACTTATACCCCCTTCCTGCCCAGGCCAATTTCCAGCTCTCAGCGCTGTCACATTTTGAATGACAATTGTGTGGTCATGCAACACTGTACCCATATGAAATTTTTATCATTTTTTTTGTGACAGATAGAGCTTTATTTTGGTGGTATTTAATCACGGGTTTTTTATTTTTTCTTAAACAAACCAAAAACCACTGAAAAGTTTGAAAAAAAAATGTTTCTTAGTTTTTGTTATAAAATTTTGTAAATAAGTGATTTTTCTCCTTCACTGATGTGCGCTAATGAGGCTGTAGTGATGGGCACTGATAAGATGCACTGATGGACACTGATAGGTGGCACTGATGGGCACTGATGAGGAGGCACTGGTAGGTGGCACTGGTGGGCATTGACAGGCATCACTGATGGGCACTGAAAGGCAGCACTGATATATGGCACTGATGTGCACTGATAGTAGACACTGACTGGCACTGATAGGAGGCACTGACTGGCAGCACTGATTGGCATTGATAGGTGGCACTGAAGGGCAGCTCAGATGGGCACTGATATGTGGCACTGATGGACGACAGGTGGCACTTCTGGGGCCACACTGATCATCAGGGCACACTGATCATCAGTGCCATGATGATCAGTGTACATGTCCTCTCCGCGGAATGCCGATTACCTGCTCTCCTCTCCTCTCGAGCTGTCAGCGTGACAGCTCGAGAGGAGAGAAATGCCGATAACCGGCATTTCCCTGTTTACATGTGATCAGCTGTGATTGGACACAGCTGATCACATGACCGAGCCGACAACTTCGGCTCTTTCCGTGGATTGGTGATCAGCTGTGTCCGAGGGACACAGCACCGACGATCGCCGCGCTGCACGCTCCCTGAGTCGCGCATGCGTGGTGAGAATGGAAGGCCGTCAAAAGACAGCCTATCAGAACGAGAGAACCACCTTGCACCCGTCATTAGACTATAAGGCGGGCGGGAGGTGGTTAAGCAAATTCAGTACAGAGGAGGAACTGACACAACTGTGCAAGATGGAAGGAAAAGCTGGAGTTCAGCTTTAAGGTTTTGGCCTGTAGGACTTCACATAAATTATAGCAGTGTTTGTTTTTCAATATTTAAGAAAGAGCTGGAAATCCAGATGATCATCCACAAACTCATAGTAAGGTTTAGAATGTCAAGTCGTTTTTATATATAAAACTTTCCCAACCTACAATAAAGGGCAGATTACGTTTTCTGGGGAAAAAAAGGAAAAAAGCCAATTTTACATCAACTGGTTATCTTGTTTAACTGCCTAATAAAATATAGTAGAAAGCTTTGTAACTAATCGAAAATACATTTCTGATGAAGTAATGCAATCTGAGTCCCCTTAGATTTGTGGAGTAATGTTTTAGAGGTTCCACTGGAAAATAGTTGATTATTTATTGGAAGCAAATCTACATTTTGGTCCTTAAATTTGCCTAGATTGTGAACATATTTTACAGAAAATATCATGGATTCAACTTCAGTACTTGTACAGCACGAACTATATATATGCACACACATATAAATATACATACATACACACACTCTCACACACATGCATACATATATATACACACACACACACACACACTGTATGGATTTAGACCAAAACCTTGGCTTATAATGTACAGTCATGGCCAAAAATATTGGCACCCCTGCATTTGTCAGATAATGCACCACTTTGCCCAAAAGATTATTGCAATTACAAATGTTTAGGCATTCTCATGTTTATGTCTTTTGTTTGTATTGGTATGGAGAAACGAAAAGTCAACTGACACATTCCACGCAAAACCCCAAAAATGGACAAAATTGACACCCTCAAATTAAAATTTGGTAGCACACCCCTTGAAAAAAATAACTGAAATCAATTGCTTCCTGCAACCACCAATGAGTTTGACACCTCTCTATTGGAATTGTGGACCACTCTTCTTTCGCCAACTGCTCCAGGTCTCTCAGATCGGAAGGGTACTTTTTCCCAACTGCTGTTTTGAGATCTCTCCACAGGAGCTGTATGGCATTGAGATTTGAACTCATTGCTGGCCAGTTCAGCACTCTCCAGCTCAAAGTCTTAAACAATTCTGGGTGCTTTGTGGTGTGTGCTTTGGGTCATTGTCCTGCTGTAAGCACCCTTGAAATCTTATGGAGACCCCACTTTCTGACACTGGGCCCTACATTGCACCCCAGAATTCTCTGGTAGTCTGAGTTTCATAATGCCATGCACATGGACATCCAGTGCCTAAAGCTGCAAAGCAACCCCAACACATCAGTGAACCTCCACCATGTTTGACTGTAGGACTGTATACTTTTCTTTAAAGGCATCTTTGTTTTTTCAGAAAACAGTAGAATGATGGGCTTTACCAAAAAGCTGTAATTTTGTTTCATCTGTCCGCAGCACATTCTAAAAGATTTTGGCTTCCTCAGGTACGTTTTGGCAAACTCCAATCTGTTTTTTTATGTTTCTTTGTCAGCAGTGGGATCCTCCTGGGTCTCCTACCATATCGTCCCTTTTCATTCACATGGCGACATATAGTGTGAGCGACAATGTTGCGCACAGTGGACACAGGAATATTAAGATCTCTGGAGACGGACTTGTAACCTTGAGATTGTCTATGCTTTTCCACACTTTTTTGTTCTTAAATCCTCAGACAATTCTTTGCTACTTTTTCTCTTCTCCATTTGGCACACAGAGACACACAACAGAAAGGTTGAGCCAATATTTCACCATTGTAACTTGTAACAAATTAAACTTGCCACCATGTTTTTGTCTCTAACCCCACTGGGATAATTAGGAAGAGGAGCATTTTTTAACAGGACAGAAGGCACAGACAGTAATAAAAATACTGTCAGAAATTCCGACCCTATCCCACTTTACTAAAAACGTATTTAACCGCTTAAGGACCACCCACAGTACATTTACTGCTACAGAGCAGCCCATGTGTGCAGGATCACATATGTATATGAGATTCTGCATTTCTGAATAGGGGGCGCACGAGCCCTACCTACGTCGCCGATCGGGACCCTGGGTGTCAATCACCAGGTCCTGGCTGGTGATTACCCGCCAGCACCCGGTGATTACCAGCGGTCACTGAAAGGGAGGAGGGCTGCATTGTTTACCAACAGCCCTCCTCCCTGTCAGTTTCGGCACACTGCTCTGGAAGGCTGAGCAGAGGCATCCAGAGCAGTGTGCTTACATTGAAGCGCACACACCCCCCGCCCCCTAGTAAACCTCTCCCATCACACAGTTAACCCTTTGATTGTCCCTCAGGTTAACCTCTTCCTGCACAGTGTCAGTGCTTTTTTTTTTTTTTTAGCACTGACTACTGTATTGGTGTCACCGGGGATGTCAGTGACACCAAGTCAGTTCTCCCCATTGTCAGAATGCCCGCCACAGTCCAGCCATGAATTGTTGATCGCCGCCATTATTAGTATAAAAAAAAATTCCAGTATCTATACCGTCATTTGTAAACGCTATAACATTCACGTAAACCAATTAATTTATACATATTAGGACTTTTTTTTTTTTTTTAAGCAAAACATTTTGCAGAATATATTTTAGCCTAAATTTATGACGAAATGTGATTTTAAAATTTTTTTAATGGACATGTTTAATAGCAAAAAGTCCAAAATATTGTTTTCTTCTCAAAATTGTCAGTATTTTTTTTTGTATAGCGCAAAAAAATAAAAAACTCACAGGCGATCAAATACCACCAAAAGAAAGCTCAATTTGTTGGGGAAAAAAGAACGTAAAATTTGGGTGCAGTGTTGCATGACCACGCAATTGTCTGTTAAAGTAACGCAACGTCGTAATGCAAACTGTTTCATTAACTGCTTCCTGACCGCCCTATAGCAGAAATACTTCTACAGGGCAGCATGGGTGCGCAAAATCACTTATATATACACACGTGATTCGCACTCCCGTGGTTTTCACTCCCCTCCCAGATAGCGTCAGATTACCCGTCAGTACACCAGTAATAACATTTAACCCTTTGATTGCCAGGAACACGCTCATACACAATAAACCTCCAATGCTACTATAGTGTCTGAACAGATCAATAGCTTTGATCAGATCAGCACTATACCAGCATTCACATTAGTAGTGTCCCCAAAAACACAGCGCTAGCGGGATCAGCCCCGATACCTGCCAGCAGCTGCATTTAGCCCCTACACTTAACCCCCCCCCCCCTTCTCCCCCAGCAAGTGCAGTGTCAGTAAGTCACTGTCACTTTATACATTGCACACAAAACCGCAGTGTTCGCAGAATCAGGCCTGATCTCTGCAAGCACTTGCCAGTAAATTTTGATTACTCTCATATGCAGCAGAGTGCCAGTACTAGTGCCACTCTACCTTTTGGTGAACTGGCAACACCAGAGGCCTAGTACATCCTGGTCTTTCACATACCAGCACTGAAGTATCACTTGGTGACGTGTTGAGCCCCATAAGTGCAGTACAAGCTCGTGCGGTCACGAGCACAAGTATTGTCCTGCAACCACCAAGAATTCGCACACAGGCCCATGGAGCCCCTAGTATCCTTCCAGATGTGCTTGCAAATCCAAATTGGCAGCCCACAAATTCTGCAGCACCCATACTTCCCCCATTCACTGCCCAACCCGGAATTCAGGTGGAAACAGCAAATTTAAACACGCTCCTTGATTTTTTGGAGCTGTTTTTCACATAAGATCTGTATGCATTGATTGTGGATCAAAGCAATTTATATGCACAATTTATCGCCACCAACCCAAATACAAACCTTGTCAGACCACTCGCATTGAAACCCATTACGGTTTCTGAATTTAAAGTTTTTTGGGGCCTAACCCTCAACATGGGCATTACTAAAAAAAAAAAAAAAAAAAAATAATTGCGGTTGTATTGGCCCACAGACCCAATTAATCATATGCCCATGTTCTCTGCTGCCATGGCCAGGCATAGATATGAGAGTATAATGTGTTTTCTGCTTTTCAATGACAACACACTGTTGTCCTAGGGGTGACCCTGAATTTGACCTGCTTCACAAAATTCAGCCCCTCGTAAATCAACTTAACCAAAAATTTGCAGATGTCTACTCCCCAGCAAAAAATCTGCGTTGAGTCCCTCATTAATTTTTCTGGCCACCTTGTATTCAAACAATTTCTCTCCCCAGCAAGCTTGCCAGATATGGGGTCAAGATGTAGAAGACCTGTGAGAGGGCAACAGGCTATACTTATAAGTTTCAGATTTAAGAGGATAAAGATAGTCACGTGGAGCCCCCCAGATGCCCAGACTACATGGGGAGTAGTGGCAAGGTTTGGGACTTGGTGTCATCCTTTTTCCATATGGGGTACCACTTATACGTGGACAATTTTTATTCAAGAGTATGTACAATCTTGGAATTGGCGCATGTGGCACAGTGCAACCTCATGTGTTCCCACCATGGTGGATGGGTGGATGCAGGGCGATATATTCTAATGGTGGGCATACCACACACACTTTTTCTAGCAGAGATTTCTTCTCATTTTTTTTTTATTCAGCCCTGCAGGCTGCATACAAAAAAAAAACACATAGCATATATACCCAACAAGGACCAGCAACGTACTGGTACATCACTGGACTATGAATGGTTATACCTGGTAATGTTTTTTTCAGCCAGAAATCAGATTTCATGTAAAAGCAATCCTAGCAGCTAATTAGCAGCAGGATTGTTTTTACAAGCAGCGGGAAATGATGCCCCCCTTCCCCGCTGCCTTTCACGGCCTTCTCAGGCAGTCCCATGCCATCGGAGGAACCTGA